AACAGTCGTTTATTTACAATCGCAGATTCGTGTGACCGTAATTAACGCAGAAATTGCAAGAATTGGCAATTCACACCGGTCGTCTTGGTAACGGCTCGCGCTCTGTCTTTATTACTGTGGATCGTTGGAATCACAGGGAAACTTGGATAATTTTGGAATTGATGTAGATCAGCCAGATTGGAGCGGTAAGGCATTAAGGTTGAACAGGTATATCGACCATCTGCCTCAGCGGACGTATAAAAGCGGATTACCAGAGGCGATGCATTCTCTGAGACCGACGTAGATAAAAGTACGCGCACATTTGTCTTCGTATTCAATTTATTGAAGTTTTTTCATCGTAATGAGAAATATCGGATAACGGTAAATTGCGACATGACAAGAGAAAGGAATAAACACACACTAAAAAAATATAGTATAATATAAAAAATATTCATATAAAAATAATACACAGACACACACGCGCGCGCACGCATATGCGTGTTTACATGCGTGCGTATGTATGTGTAGACATGTGTATGTTAAAACTAGTATATTACTTCCAAAACCAAACCATTTAGAAATGTTTTTCCCATTTTTTAATATAATAATTTTTCATTTTTATCAAGTGTACTAGAATAAAAGAATTCTTAATGATAAACATTATATTTTTAATAAAATTAGTATAAATTTTAAATCTTTTAAATCTAAAAAAATTATAAAGAAAGAGAAAGGAAGTTGTGCGTTTCATATTATATCATTCTATAACATTTATATTAGTTACTAAATTTTACATGCTTCAAAGAGGAAAGAATCTGTTTTTAAAACAGAAAAAATAGATGCGACATTTAACGAAATCGCATCGTAATAAATATTCTAATTATACTTTGGTTGAAATAATTCGGTTTTATCGCAAGACTATGTATTTTCCTTTCATCAATATAGAATCCTCTCATAGTATCGTTTGATGAAAATATAGCCGAAACCAGGCCAGGTATTACCGCTCTACCGGCTACAATTATCAGCCGGGACATGCCGTTAACGAGAAAAGCCTTTCAAAGGCAACACAGAGTTCCGATTAAACTTTGTAGCGCTCCTCGACAAAAGAAAAAAAAGACATGTATTTTTCTCGATACGCTAAGAAACTTACTTACTATTTCGTTTCAATAAAAAAACCGCTTGAGAAGTTTTCCCCCTGACTCTTCATCCGCAACAAATTTCTCATAGCATCTGGTATCTTTTTTATTTCACAATATTATAAGTATCACTAATAAGATTATCAATAATATCGATTTTTTCTTTATATATATATATATATATATATATATATATATATATATGTAAAGAAAAAATAAAGACAGTAATAAAGACATATATATATACAAAGAAGAAAAAAGGAAGGAAATATTATTGGTATTTCAATTTCATATAATATAAATACATTTAAAAAAATTATGTATATATAAAATTATGTATTATATATATGTATTTAAAATTATGTGTATTGAAAATTTATTTATTCTTATACATTTATTCTTATACAGTAACTGACATTTCATTTTCTTTGCAAAATACTTAATAATTTTATTTAAAAAACTTAAAAACAAAAAAAGAAAAAGTGAGAAAGAGAAGAAAGGGAAAGATAGAAAAAGATATTATAAAGCTTTCTAATATACTGCATTTCTTATTGTACTATTTGGTGTACGAACAAATGGGATTGCTCTTTCAGCGATGCCGGAACGTGCAACATAAAGTCGGTCGTAGCTACAGTTTATGTGACATATTTAACTTCAAGCTCTTGCAAAAGCGTATCATTTTATATCGCATTTACTTGTAATATTCTTCAAACTAGAAAAGTAATAATATCATTTTAAAGATTTCATCCGTCATTGACTCTTAATAATAAACGAAAATATATTCACAAGATATATAAGTCAATAAAAATCGTTTCAAACCAAATAAATGTTTACTAAAAAAATTCTAAAAGTTTATAATGTATTAATTACCGTGAAACCGTGAATTAATAAAAAAATAAGAATTACTTACGTCATTCGATATATAAATCCTTTCTGATCCACTTGGTTCATTATGAGTCGCATTAACCTATTGCATAAAAAAATATTGGTTTTAATAGTAAATACTGACATTTTTTTATTTTCATAATTTTAAATTTCAATTAACAATGCAATTTACGTAAAAAATAAATAATAAATAGCTAGCAGAATTATTTCCTTATTATAAAAAAATACCAATATATACTATAATTACTATATAACATAATTATTATATAACATAATTATTTGCTTATGAAAGATATGCATATATATTAATTTTAATAATTATGCATTTTTGCATTTTTTATATAATTAAATTAATTTAATATAAAAATATCTCGAAGATATGTTTATCAATATACATACATACAAACACACACACACACACACACACACACACACACACACATATATACCGAATATTATAATATTTTATAAATCTATGATAAATGAAATGATTTACTTTTCTTTTTTTATAAAAAATTGTTCCTAATAAAATGTACTTTTTCCCTAAAATTAAAACATCATAAATTAGATAAAGCATCGGAAAAATAATAAAATTTAAATGCTAAAATTGTGCGATAATTATAGAATGATGTTTCTGAAAATATTTTAAAGCTCAGCTTTGACACGCTCTTTTCTAAAATTTTTCTCTAAAATTCTTCTCTACTATTATTTCTAAATTAACTTTGGAAAAAATTGAAAAATAACTTTAAAACTTTAATTTTAAAAATGTATGAAAAAAAAAGAAACTTTTATTCAACATTATTTTAAATAATTTAAAAGCTTGAGGTTTCCTCTTTAAAGTACTTTTCTTTAAATTCAATTGGGATTTTCTTTTATCAAGTTAACGCGAGATGAAATAATTAATGCACTTCCTGTTTTCTTCTGAGAGATCTCTAGCGTACCACCGGCATCAGCATTATCCGTGTACGTGGAGACAGCACAATCAAAGTTATATTTTATATGTGCGTGCGCTTTCTCATCATGGTAGAGATAGAGAAATACTACAATTTGAGTTCTCTCTCTCTCTCTTCTTTACAGTAATATTTAATAACTCTAAACCTCTCTCTATTATATGCGTACTCATTTGTATATTCTCGCACGCCGAGATGTATATAATCATTCATTCACCAACACTCATTCACTGATACACATGAATGCACATACATGAAACGTAAGCTCGACTGTGCTACTTCCACGTGATATACCTGAGTAATGCTAATGTCGGTGATGATATTAGAGATTTCTACTGAAAAAAGCTGAAAGTGCATTAATCATTTTAACTCGCAATAATTTAATGAAAAAATAGCAGATAAATGTTTGAAAAAGTATTTTAAAAAAGAAACTTAAAGCGTTTAAAACTAAATTTTAAAAAAATTTCTTTTTCTGCATATATTATCTTAAAGTTCTTCTGTAAATTTGTTCTGCAGTTAATTTGAAAGTGATATCCACCAGAGAAGAATCGTCATAATAAAGAACTTGATAATGTTTTAAAAATTGAGATTTTCAGTTTTAAAATATTTTCATTGCTCTATAATCATTTTTCGCAACATTACATGCATTTAAATTTCATTCTTTTCGATCAATTCAAAATGTTTTAATTTTATTGAGGAATATATCATAACATATAGTATAATATTTTTAAAAGTTTAATCCTGACGAAATAATAATAAAAATGTAAGTAAGTAATGGCTAAAGTAATTAATCTACTATAGAAAATATTAAAAAATATTATTTTAATTTGCAGTGCATATACATAAGACTGATATCAACACATTTAAATTAGTTTTAATTTATATATATATATATATATATATATATATATATATATAATTTGTATATCGTTAAGTTTAAATTTAAAAGAAATAAACGCATATCTTCTTGAAAATCGTGTAGAATTTTAGATCTCCAATGAATTGAGAACTATTTGTGTATCCAAATAGTTCAATGTACACCATTTGTCCAAAATTTAGTCTAAAAAATATATTGATATAATATACTTTTTAAAGATATGTTTTTTTAAGATATGATTAAAAAGTCTTACTGTAATTACTGTGATATATGTACATATTTAATTAAGATATAATGATATATGAATACGATATAATAATACGATTAAAAAAAAAACGAAATATGAACAGGAATATAATTTGCGCATTAAACACTTAATTGCATATATATAAATATCATACGTTTAATAAGTATACACACGTCAGTGCAACGGTGTAAACTCTAATGTTAATCAGGTTCCTTAATTGCGAAGAGCAAATCCGTACCTCAAAAGTAAGGCAGAACCAGAGGAAATTTCCGTGTCGATTAAAATGAGACTCAAAGTGATTTAGCAAGAGGTAATTGCGACTGACTCGTTAGCATCGCTCGATAGGCGAGGAGAGACGAGGCCTCACATAGATCCCTTTTAACTGAGTGATGCAATGGAATGCACCAAAATTAGAGAACCGCACCATCCACGGGTAATAATAGCACATAGTTGTGGATACATCCGAACACTGTGTTCAAATCAAATTAGAAATACTACAATAGTGACAAAGTACGTTTTGTTACGCGGTTTAAACATGATGCTGTGCGTATCATACGGCCGAGCATTATTAAATAAATTAACAAATATTAAACTAATGATAAATATTACATTCTTTAGCAGTATCAAAAAACTAATTTTGAATACTTTCTCTCTCTCATTTTAATGATTGTTTTAAAAATATTATATGTACATATAACTGTACTAGTAGTACTATAAATATATATATATATATATATATATATATATATATAATTATAATTGTAAAAAATAACTTTTTTACTGAATACATATAAATTAAAATATCAACAAATTTTATAAACTAAATTTTGTGGTAAATATAATTTTAATTAAACAATAAATAAATTTTAATAACACAATATTTTACATTTTTTCCAGAATTTGGCAATGATTAATGCAACGAAAAGGTGATGTGGCGAAACTTTGGTTGGGCGGCCATTCTGGCCACATGGACGATCTTCCTGATCTTGAATAGCGGTTTAACTGGTGAATGGATCTTCAATAATCAAATCAACAATGAATACACTTCCTATAAAGTTCATCAAGGATCAGCATCTTCTACTTTCGATAGAAAAGCAATTTATGATTCGAAAAAGAATTCCAAATCGAATGATCGTTTATCAATGCATATGAAAACAGTCTTCTCGGAATTCAAAAACATGGAAAATCGCGATTTACGACTCAGTGGCTATGAAAAGCGCGACACGACAAATGCAAAGGCAAAGGCTACACCAAGGTATTTGAAAGATAGTACTTCTGACAAAAATTCTTGGCTGACTGCAAAAAAAATAGCAACAAAAAACATGTGGTTACCAAAAATCATCATTATGGAAAAATCGAGGAATACAAAAAAATATTGTAAATTTATGTCTAGTCTGCATGTATCACCGTCCCATGAATTGAAAAGTACTTTGAGAAAGAAAAGACGTAAAGAAAAAACAACTTACACATTCTCGAGCGATCGTAAAAAGGCAGCAAAGTTAAGGCGGGACATTCGAGCGTTTGACAAGAAAAGCGAATGGCACAGGAAGAAGCACAAGAGGGAGCGAATCTTTAGCAGAGAAAATACGAAGACCGCATTCTTCTCTGACAAATTCAGAAAGCGCTCGTGCAACGGCAGTTCTACACGAGAATTTAAAAATTCCGATATCTCAAAGTTAAAAACTATAGAAAATACCAAGTTCAGGCGCACCGACGAGAAACGTGAATATAATAGAAACGACGAAGATTCTCGCCAAAGTTTGACGAAAAACGGCACGAATAAATTGATGTACGTGAATGTTGAGGCTAACGACGAATCTCGGATATTGGAGACAACTTTTCCAAACTATTCGAGCTTAAAAGGAAATCAAAGTCTTGGGAATGTCGGAACCGTGGTTACAGACAATACAGTCACAAAGAATTCACCGTACAAGCATTCCGTAACTGTCGCCTGGACTACGTTAATCTTCAATTCCAAAATTTCAAAGACAAACAAAGGAGTTTATAACGAAGAAAACACGATAAATCCCTATCATTCTCCGCAGAACGAATATTCGAAATCTTATAAGAGAGACGAATTTCCAGCAAGCGAAACTTACAAACGCCACCAATATTCAAAGATAGGGTTTAAAGTAAATACAGATGCGCGCGAAGATAGAAAAGGGAACGACGAAGATATTGTCGACTCCTTCGCTTCTCACGAACCGAACTCCCTCGATAGGCATTCTGCTAGGGAGGGAAGCTTTATGGAAGATTTCCCCTTACAAAAAGAAAAAAACGCGGTGAAGGTGGCGCAAGAAACGCCCGGCTCGCGACGTGAATATCATTCTTTTATAAGTAATATCGGCGCAAGAATAAATAGAAAAGCAACGGATCTTAACGAATTGCAGATACGAAGAAGAATGAGAGAGAGAGAAATTACCGCTGGTGCAAATTATATGACGCGCAACGAGCTTGAAATTAAACGTGATCTGTTACCAACTAATTTATTCATTACGGGAATCAGCGGGTCAAAGTTAGAGTATCCAACATCGGCGCGCATTTCAATCACGCGGAAGAGGAATCCGATGCATGTAGGATACGTCAGGTCTGGCTCGGACTGCAAACATTCACGAATGACCGATTTCGAAGCCCAAGTTAGTAGCGCGTTTCGATTCGGCCTCTGGAATGTCTCCGGTTCATCGAGACTCGCAAAATTCGATAAACCCCTCGATCGGGAAGCTCATAGTCGCGTGAAATATTCGCGGAAATTCGATGCGATCAATATTGATGCGCGGCCGCCACACATCACTAAGATAATTGATGGAAGATCGAAACTTGACGAGGAACTTCGAAGAACTTCGACCGAAAACGAATCTATCTTTCCTAGTGCACCGAATATTGGCGATAATCTGACCGAGATGCGAGTGATTAATGGATATGAGCAGTCATCGAGCGAACCTACAGATGAGTCGGGATTAGAAAATGTCAGAGATGGAAATCACTCTGACATGCGTGAAGAATCTGGATTTTATTCACGAAGTAGCGGTATCCATAACTCAAAGTATCGACGATACAAACGTCATGAAGTTCGAAATACTCTGGGGAATCCGACATCGACTGAACTTGATAGTGAGACGTGGAAGACATTTGATACAATAAGGCCAACAACATCGAATGTTTTGATTAAATTTACACCCAATCCATCCGTTTCGGTTACTCAAACAACTAATACAGATCAAATACCTAACGCGAATTTTCTCACAACTGTAAAAACACTGCCGTCCTCGGGATACCGAAAAATCTCAAAAAAATGGCAATCGATTCCGTCGATGACTACCGATTACGAGGTACAACATACGAATGCTTCGGCGGGAATAGGTTCCAACGGATCTGATTCATTAGAGACCATGTTAGTAGATATTCCAAAAACATTCAACGTCAGCTCGATAGATACATCGGCGTTTCTAATCAAGACGCTTGATCGATCGACAGCAATCAATAAAACAGACAACTCCGTTATTCTGAAAGAAATTTCCTCGACACCAGAAATGAATCTGCAAATATCCTACGCCACAAACGAGAATGTCTTCGACACGTCGTTAATCGAGCCCATTAATTCACAAGAAGATTACAGAATGCATGGAAACGGCACGATCGTCGATCCTACAATCGAGCCGTTTCCTCAAAGGAGCATCAATTCCCCTCGAAATGTCTTGGAGGACATGACGATAGAGAATGTCGACGATTCATCGACCGACGACGCACTCTCCGACCAGTGGCCCGTAAAGCATAGCGCAGTGGTAGAAGGTGATCTCGTTCTTGGTGGACTCATGATGGTGCACGAACGGGAAGACACAATTACATGCGGTCCCGTAATGCCTCAGGGTGGCATACAGGCATTAGAGGCTATGCTGTACACGCTGGATAAGCTGAACGATCGGGAGATCGTACCGGGTGTCAAGATCGGAGCGCATATCCTCGACGACTGCGACAAGGACACCTACGGTCTCGAGATGGCGGTGGATTTCATTAAGGGTATGTAAGCGTCGCAGAATCTGATTACGTTTATTTATGCATATTGCTAGTAATTTCGTCTTTGTGTGTGTGCGTTTCATATAGCGAAATTTTATCAGATAACGTCGCAAAGCTCAGAGCACGAAAAATTGATAGAGTATACAATTTTTATATCTGTTTCTATCTCTTCCTACAAATTGACTCGAAAAATACGACATAAATTCCGAAAAGAAATAAACGTTTCTTTTGTAATATTGTTTATCTTCATTTTATTTTACTTTTTATTGTTGTTTTCTTTTACTTCTAGCATTTAATTCCTATACGTATTTACTTTTTCGTATTTTAAATTAAAATTAAATCTAAGTTTAATTTTTTTTGTTTGCTAAAATCGAGCAAAACGTCGTATGAATATTAAGTATTCCTCGAAGAGAATTTCCAATTTATTGTAGCCATTCCATGAAAATGCTATGATGATGCGGCCCTATAATATCTTGGGAGAAATTTCCAGCCAGGAAATTACGCTAGCAAAACCACCGCGGCGTAATTTCTGGTAGAACGAACTTGTATTGACTTATTTCGTTATCGCCTTGATGCAGCGCAACTATTAGATTTATATGCTTGAGATGAAAAGCATATATACATATGCATTGAAAGCAACAGTATTGCTTCTTTTGAACGCGTTTATTTCATAGAGAATAGAGAGAAATTGCTTTTAAAACTGGTTCTGATCTTTATTAACATCTATGAATAATGCATATTCGATAGCTATTCCGTTTATTTTACCACTCTAATTTCCTCCTTTATATTAAAAAAGAAATTTAGTATTGTAAGCAAAAAATAGCTCTAATTTATTCGGCAAATATATCTTCATCAGTTTGATATCTCAACAAAGATTATAAATAGCGGAAGTAGCACCAATTAAGACAATTGTTTTTATATTTAAAGATAAATAGATAGATTTATCTTTATCGAGAATAAATAAAAGGGGTAGTAAACATCAGTAGGCCAACGTTCTACATTCTTGAAAAGATATGATCTTCTGTCGGTAAGCTTTCAGTTGGGAAGGATCAATCGAGCTTTTCGCAAGGTACCGACAGTAATTATATAGCAACACACGCCAACGTACGATAAATGAGAAGATTTATCTTATGTTGGCGTTTCTGTGCGTTTTATTGCTATCAACACACATAAACTATGAAAAATAGCACAACAAATGTTGACTGTTAAACGTATAAAATACAGCGCTTTTGTATCTTTTCCCCGATGTGCTTTTTAACTTTCCACAGAACCATAACAGAATTCTTCTTATAAAATATAGAATCAGATTCCCTCTATGCGAATTATATATGTATATATATAATTCTAATATCAAAATTAAATAAACTATAATTTTATATAATATACGATAATATTTCGACTGATACATGGTAATATTTCGACTGATAATGAAATAAACATGACATTTCTCTTTCTCCTGAGAGCTGCTAAAATTCTATTTCACAATCCGCCGAGTTTTCGCAAAACTATCACTTTGAATTACCACATTCGCTTCCTTTTGCGGCAATATGTAGAATCATCTGAAATTCAAAATAAGCAATTGCTGCATGCAGTAAAAATTTCTCCGCGCCAAACTCGACAAAAGTTACGCTGTAAGAAAAGTGACATGCCACGAGCTCATGATAACACCCGAGAAATTAAAGTCGTTGTATTATTCAACGGATGGCACACCAGAGCAATGCGAACTATCTTCGCTACGCGGAATAGGAATTCTCTATTCAACTCTCATATTTAATCCTGACCCAGGTTAATAACTGCCAGTGAACGCGACGTACTGTACCGCTGCGAGCTTCCGTTCTACAAGCTGACACCAACTAGTTGATATTCACAGTAGTAGTAATCGGTTTTATTGATACTTTCACGGAGGAGAGACTTAAGCGGCTTATACAGCCTTGAATAGATCATGCGCGCATAATGTTTGCTTAAAATGAGATAATGGAAGCTCGCCAAAAATCATCGATGAACGAAAATAAATATGCCCAATTTAGTAAAAAAACTTATTAAATTCGTAAAATTTTCTTACAGATATATCAATAGATATATCAATAGATCATTTAAATAAATATTTTCTTTTTATCATTCATAACATTTTAATCATTAAGAGAAAGTTTTTGATTTGCATTATTAATATTTTAAAATTGTCATCCATTTTTTTATTTCTTCATATAAATAATGCTGTGTAGAATTATGTAGCATTTATGAAATAATTTTCTGAATATTCGTATAAGCATACACATAGTTTTAGATACTTATACGTTAAAGATAAATATTTTTTAAAGCGAAATTGAAATAAGATGAAGAATAATACTTCGTATAATCCACGTTTCAATAATAAAGCTCTTTCATATAAATTTTATAACATATATGTATATACGTACACGCACAATTGTTTATATAATTTGCTTATTATTATAAAAATGTGAGATTTAATGTAATAGAGATTTTATACAATATCGCAAATTACATAATAAAAAGAATTTTTACGATAAAAAATCACGCAATTCCACGCAAGAAACGCGCATTCATTTCATATTATGTATACCATATATATAGACAAAAATAACTATAAACCGAATTGATTCAACATATTTGCAATATAAATAGATAATCTCCAAATCAATTGGTCTTTATAACCTATCAATTAATACTGCATACCGAATTTCTCGTTGAAAATGTCATGAGCACTGCTTGTAATTACTATTGCAATTGAACTCTCGCATATATAAAGTGCATCGCAAAATTATGACAACGCGATTGTCACGTGAGATATTAGTCATCTCATATGATACTTGAAATTCGAAGCGTTAATAATACACAAAAAATTTACTTTAACTTTATATAGTATTTTAACATTATATATTATGTATATGTATTTTTTGCTGTAATATTGTTTAAACGTTAAACAATTAATGTTGATAAATATGAGTGCAAAGAATGGAAATATCTTGAGAATTTTTATATCATTTACTTGTATCTTGTTAATTATAAAATGACTATTAAGATTAGAAACGAGAGCTATTGAAGACTTAAAGAGCGATTTAAAAGCATTCAACGCGCACTCAACCGAGGCATCCCAGTAGGAGATAATGATAAAATCGAAGCAAAATTGCATGGAAGTGACAATTTTTATGTCATTTACTCATAGCTTAGTGATTATTGCAAGAAGGATATTAAATTATGCAATAGTATATTCGAAAGAGACAAAAATAAATTATTTCTCATACATATGTCTAATTTAATCTAAAAAAGTGAGCCTTTTAATTAAAAGCAAAAAACGTGCTGCTGATATTCACGCTTCCTGCCGAATTGTGCATTCGTGAGTACCGGAATTCATATCTGATGGGCGAACGACGTCGTACCCGTCGTTGTCATTAGAACATGGACGTTTTTGCGTTCGGACTGCACGCGAGCTCTCGAGATAACGTTACTCCTAGTAGCGAACACCGCAATTTGTCACGACTTGCTTCCCGACGAGCGATTTAAAAACAACATTTTTCAACGTGCAGTTCAGCCGAGGCACCACAGTAGGAGATAATGGCAAAATCGAAGCAATACCGCTGTACCGCACGGAAGTAAGCGGTATAATAACGATTTTATGAAAATTTAATCGGACTGGGGAATATCTCCACCGGTAAGTGGTATTCTTGTTTCTCAACAAAAATTTACTCAAGCACAAGAATTACGAAGAATCTGTGGAGTTGTAGTTGCCTGTTAAAAAATTAATTTTTATAAGTATGAGACAATGTAGAGAGCAATTTTATATAAATTTACACAACTCTTTTAATTTTCGATGAATCTTTAATATTGAGAGTCTTTAAACTCCTTGATAAAATTCTTTCCTAAAAATTTTATAAAAAGCGATAGACCGAGAGAAAGAGAGAGAGTGAGAGTGAGAGTGAGAGAGAGAGAGAGAGAGAGAGAGAGAAAGGGAGAGGGGGAGAGAGGGGGAGGAGAGAGAGAGAGAGAGAGAATCACAGCTGTTTGATGTAAATTTCGAATATCGACTTTTCCAAAAATGCTAATAAACACGTTTCTCTTTTTCTCCTACAAGTCCGGAGTTGTTGATCAATGTTACGAGAAAACAACGCTGCGATGGAATATTTAAACGAGCGCTGGTGGCCAATATATTGGAACATCAAACACGCTCATGCTTCCTTTGTGTGAGGATTCCATTGTGTGATATACTCTTATATCGACTATTTTCTGGAACTTTCATCACTTGCGTCATCATTTTCAGCGAGTATCTGCGAAACACTATCTTGACATTACCGAAAATCATTTATCAAGCAAATGGCATGCAATATTACTGCAAATGTCACATTTGTTGACATTTTCCACGTATTTTCAGTTTATTGCGAAAAGAGTACTCGGAGTCAACTTGCAAAACAAGTTGTTTTTCCAACATTAATTTTCAAAATTAATTATCTTCACCTTAAATATTTATAAAAAATTATTACGCAACGGAGAAATGTATATGTTCGTATAAAAAATTAAAAATTTAATAGAATTAACATAGAGAATGTTAACACAGAGAATTAAATCGATAAACTTTTCTCTGTTATAAATTCGTTATAGGAGAGGATCATATTATGGCGCATAGCTTTACAAATAAAAACCACGAGGATTCATTAACCAGCTAGCATCTAACGAGATTTAAACTGGAGCTTCCGTAAATTAGTGCGGTATACGTAATGGGGCTTTTTTGCTAGGTTTAGTTTCAACTACGGCTATTTATCGAAGCACTTGTAACAAGCATTTTTCTCATAATTTTTATCTCATTATTAAATGCAAAGAATTTTGTATGATTAGAGCAGAGAAACGAAAGAAACATTAGAATGAATATGCATCAGATGACTTTCTCAGCACAAAGAGAGCTAAAAGTTACGTGCAGTATATATATATATATATATATATATATATATATACACAATTGCAGTATGCATGTATGAAAAACTATTAAAAAA